AATAGAAAGAGAGACTGTTGTGCTTATATATTTTCTGTCAAAAGTCTCGGTTAGTATTATGCTCACCTCTGGTCCTCAGCTCCACCCAGACCTGGGCCCCCTCCCATTCCTGGAGTTCCCACCATACAGCCAGCCCCTCCCTCTCTCTGCCCAGACCCACCTGAGCTCCCATCTACCTCACTTCCTACCCCCAGACCCTGCTGCTACCTGGATGGTGACAGAGGCGATTGGCTCCCTCTTGGGGGAAATAGGGCTCCTCTAATAAACCTTATAATAATCTTTCTCCTGTGCCTGCCTGCCTCTGCGTGGTGCCCTGGGCTGGATGTGTCCAATCCTCTTACAGTCTCCAACACTTCGGAATTATAATCTGTAATTCATGCCTTTGTTACAAAAACTGCCTTGAAGACGGGGACTACATTACAAGAATTGTGATGGCTTTTAATTCTCAATTTTGGAAACTGACTTTGAGAGGTAGAGTAAGATATCCAGCATTAGCACTGAATTAGCACTCTTGGGATTTAAAATAAAGTAGAATTTGTATCTTGTCAATCTGACTTCGATATTTGCTCAAAAATTTGAGCTAATTCAAATGAAGTTTACTGTTGTACAACTCTCAAAAACTCAAATGCCATGTGATTGGTCCTGGGAGCTTGATATATATCAAGTTATATATGTGTGTGTCGACTATATTAGGAAGAAAATCCAGAATATGTTCTAAATACACAGAAGAACACAGAGCAGCTACTACTTTAAATATACCAGTAAGGAAGCAAATTGAAAGCTAAAATAAAATACTGCCCAAGAGTAAGAACAAAACCATTTTCTTGGTTTGTTAAGCAAATAGTAGACTTTAAAAGCTTTTTATCAAGTTCATTGCTACTTTTTAAAAAACTTTCATCCATTTTCTTCATTATTCTTTTTTTGATTAACTTTCATTAGCTATATGGGAGGGGAGATTTCATTATTGTATTTCCATGCATTTACAATGAATTCTAACCAATCTCTTTACTACTTTTAGTGAAAGTCATGGTCACATGACTGTAATAGAAAGAGTAAGTCACATGATGACTATACAGTGAGATCACCATTCCTCCCAGTGGAAATGTAAAATCCCAGCAGAAGGCATTAATCAGCTTTGGGAAAACTCCAAGACAACTGACAAAAAGGCCCAAGTCAACAATAGTCTTAAAGAAGAGAACAACAATTGTTTCTAGACGATTGAAATTAGGAACTCAAAAAAAAAAAAAAAAAAAGGATTACATGAAGGAAAAACAATGTGGTACTGGAGTTTTAACTCAGGACCTCTTGCTTGGTTTGAAGTGCTCTACCATTTGAGTCACACTTCCAGGCTAGCCAGACTCTGTCCTGGGTTATTTTGGAGATGGAGCCTAACAGACTTTTCTTGTCAGACTAGCTTCAAACTGTGATCCTCTAAATCTCCACCTCTTATATAAATAGGATTATGAGTATGAGCAACCAGTGCTGGGCTAGGAAAAAAACATTTTTATTCATTCCTAAAAAATATTTACTAAATCCCTCTTGTGAGTCTGCATTGCTTCAAGTAGGAAGTGTTTATAGTCTAATAAAGGACACATAAATCAGTGGATCACATGGGAAGGGAAATTGGCTATATAAAGGCTCGGTGATACTACTGACTACTCTGTATTGTCCCTAAAAATTTGGTTCCAGGAAAATAAATACATTTCCTTCTTGGCATAATACAGAATTTGGTGGTAATGCTAATTAAGCTAAACTTTACCCTGTGTAAAGTTGAACTGAAAATATGTCATTTATTATATGTATATAAGAAATAGAAATGAGTCCTTTTGATCTTCCATTCTTCTCTTCATTTGTTATATTTCTTTTTATAAAACATGTTCTCAGTTTACATTTCAGTGCCAACAAGGTAGTAATTACAATTTTTAAACAATTCTCCACATGTTAGGTACTCAGTATGTTATTTCAATTAATATTTGGAACATCTGTTTTTAGGAAGTGTTACTGTCTCCATATTATCAAGAAGGAAAAAAAACACAGCTTGGAAAGAATGATTAACTCCCATAATTACTCAAAAGCAAAATAGTTGGAGATTAAAGCCCACCTTGTCTGATTATTGGGTCCATACTAGGCTGTCTCATTGATAAATAAATGGGAAAAATCTAAGTTCCTGCAATAATCTTATTGTCAAACCTTATTGTTCACAAGCCTTTCAGGCAGCTAGCTACTTGCAATATGGCTACGCTAAGACACTTTCAATGTGGAAAACAATCACTCAGACAAAGAATTAGTAATCCTAATAGCAATGTCCTGCCAAAGATACACATACTCCCTCACTGAAGTTTGTCATCTGACATCTACCGTCACTCATATGCAGCATTTATCTACTTATCAGTCATCACTGGAAGTTCTTTTATTTACAGAACAAATAAGGCCTTTACAAGCTGATAATTTCATGGCTAGAAACCAGTGGCCAAGGAGGTTGTGAGGAGGAAGGAAGGACTCGGGAAATGATAAGTAAAGTGGCATCTAGAAAACAAACACATTGGGAGGTAAAAGCCAAGATGAAAGGTTCAAATCACGTATCTGGGGGTGCACATATGTGAGATAAGGAAAGAGAACTCAGTGTCTTCCATCCTAACTCAGGTATTGCAATATGTCCTGTGAATGAAAAGGGTGTTTGTTGCACAAAGATCTCATTGGTGGAATCCAGGGGTCAAAGCTCAAAACCAGGGCTACTAACCAATCCCCCTTCTCTCTCTTTGTCTCTCTCTGTCTCTGTCTCTGTCACTCTCTCTTTCTGTCTGTCTCTCTCTGTCTCTCTTGAAATTTAAACACTCAGCATTAACATTAATCAAGCAGGCAGACAGCAGCAACTGTCTGTTAAGGCAATTAAAATGGCAGGGAGATCATTTAAATGTGTTGTCTTAGGGTGTTTGTTTACTCAATATTATACCTAGCCACTACAGGGATCCATAAGGGATAATATACTTCAAAGTGCTAAAGGTTGCTAATATTGGGGGAAAAATGTACCTTAATGCATTAGTCTTTCCCTTTTGTCCCTTTTTACATTTTAAAGGTTGAAGAAGTGTGCATGAGAATAAAGGGGTAGTTGTGTATTTTAACAAAACAAGGCTTGTCTTCTGGACTACCTCTGTCCATACTTTATCTTCTGCTACAGATAACATGCATCATCAGGATAATTTGAAAACAAATCTCTGAGAATATTATTTATAAAATTCATTTTCTTGACTTTCAGTGCAATTAGCTAATGCCTAAAACTCTCTTGTGTAACTAATGCCAAGTATACCATTATTCAAAAAATATCTAATTACAAATGTTAGAACAACATAAACAGGGCTAATATGTTGAAGAATGGAAACTAATGCCACTTCATCTAGTGACCATGGCGCGTTGCAATGCCTATTGGTTAAAAGTACCGAGACTAGAGTTTGAGGTCAGTGTGTGGATCTGTTGGCTTATAAAACATTAATTGCATAAATGTTAAGGACCAGTTGCTAAAAACAAAGGTCTAATTCCTTAGGCATATGTGCTCTATGCAGAATTCCAATGACAATTAATTTTCCCTGGAGAAAATACCAATGAATAAAAATATGTATTTCATAACACAGTATTTTTTATTTATTTATTATTTTTTATTTATTTATTTTTTTGGTCCGGTTGTGGGGCCTGAACTCTGGGCCTGGGCACTGTCCCTCAGCTCTTCAGCTCAAGGCTAGCACTCTACCACTTGAGCCACAGCACCACTTCCGGCTTTTTTCTTTTTGCTTATGTGGTGCTGAGGAATCGAACCCAGGGCCTCATGCATGCAAGGCAAGTGCTCTACCACTGAGCCACCTTCCCAACCCTACACAGTATTTTTTAAAGAATGGATTTATTTAACTCAGTATTCTTTGGCTGCTTTTTTTTTTTTTTAGCATTGATAGGAATGTCAGGCGGTTTTATGAAGTTGTAATTCTTTAAACTGCAAATGAGTGAGCATCAGTCATAAAGCAAAAATCCTTCTCAGAACATTGTGGGGGGGGGAAGCACGGTAATGGTTGTGCTTATATTAAGCCTGACTGTTTTACAATGAATGGTGCAGAAACCTCCATCTGTGAATGGGCTTCTCCGATCTGCCTTTGACTACTTCGCCCTTCCTTTGTAGCTCTGAAAACGGTGAAACATCTTTTGCACTTGTAAGAATAGCTAGCTATAGGATCTGATCAGTAAAAATTTAAATTCACTTTTACTCTGAAGTACTTATTTTGCAAAAGGAGAGAGAGAGAGAGAGAGAGAGAGAGAGAGAGAGAGAGAGAGAGAGAGAGTTAGAGTTGTAATCTCATGAAGTCAGTTTGCGTTTCTGTAGCAACCCAGGGCACTACAGCAAGAACTCAAACAAGACCTCCAGGGGACATAATCAGAGGTGTCGTGAGCTTTGCCAGTTCCGTTTGCATCAGAAGATGAGCTGCATGTGTAAATGAACTCCATGTCATATCCAGGAACCCCAGTCCACTGGGGATAAGCCTTGGGGCTGATCCTTAGAAAGTAGGGACTTAGTTGGGTTTTACTGTTTCTACAATCAAATCTTGGTGGCCAAGGTGCGCATTGGGTTACATACAAAGAAAGGGACTTAGGGCGCCTTAATAGTCACGGTGGACACTTGCTAATGATCTAAGGATAGATCCTATAAGGATAGATCATATAAGGATAGATCATTTCGTCAGGTAGACGAAAACAAAATTTCCCCTCTTCTCCCTTGAGCCTTCCTGTTTTTTTTTTTTAAAAAAAAAGTAGGACAAAGTTTTTCACTGCTGTTGGAAAGCCAAGAAAGGCTAGCAGAGAAGGGGAAGGAGGGGGTCCAGGGGAGCTTTTCCTGAAAATTCACCCGAGGAGCAGGTGGAGCAGTGAGTGTTCCCAACCAAACACAGACAGAGGGACAGTTGGACAGACAGAGCCCTCCCCCCTCCTTCCCCCCCCCCCCCCCCCCGGCAGCCACTCACCCTTCTTCGCGGTCCTCCGAGTCACTGCCCGAAGCCCACTCCTCCCCGATGTCCGGCAAGGTGAAGAACAAGGTCTTGGGGCCAGGCCCGGGGCCCATCCAGGCGCTGGGCTCGCGCTCTCCGGGGCCGGGCTGGCGAGGGTTCCGCGGACTCGCCGCCGCCGCCACGCCGCCGCTGCAGCCCGCGGGGCCGGCGACCCAGGGCACCGCAGCCCAGACGCCGCCGGGGCCGGGGGGCGAGCGCGCCAGGGCGCCGAGGTGGCTGGGGGAGCCGGGGGCGCCCGGCGCGGGCTGGACTTTGGCTGTTCGCGGGCTACCGGGCAGGGAGAAGGGGGACCGCTGGACTTCTGCCGAGCCCCTGGGGTGGGAGCAGGTGAGGGCAGGGTGCACGGGGGTGGGTGGACCCCGCGAGGACTCGGGAGCCAGCGAGGGGAAGAGGGTGGAGGGCGGAGCCATGGCGAGCGGGGCGCCCTCGGCGGCGCCTCCGGGGAGGCTGGACGGGGCGACCGGCGACGGGACGGCGGGGGACGCTGCCGTCGAGGACTTGAAGATTTTGGCAAAGAGAGATCCCAAGTCCAACACGGCGAGCTTCATGCCGGGGCCTTGGCCAGGCCAATGCGGTGTCCGCTGCTGCCCGAATCCCAAGCTCCATCCGCCGCCGCCCGCGACGATCGGGATCGGGTGGCCCCCGGTGAGAGCGGAGATCTTGGGGTCCCTGTGCACCGCAGGGCCCCGGAGGCCTCGGGTTCTCGAAGCACCTCCAGGAACTTCCGAACCGCAGGAAAAGGACGGTCCTTTCCCCGACGCGCCTGGCCGGCTCGGCAAGAGCTGAGGCTGCAGGTGGTGACAGCCCGACCTTAACCACCCCCAGCGCGGCGCAACCCCTCCCCTGTCCCCTCAACAGGACAAGTCGGGGCCACCGAGGGTCCTGGAGCAGAGAAAGCGGACTCGGTGCCACCGCCCGCCCCGGAGTCTGAGCGCGCAGATTGCAACCAGAGGCCAGGTGACACCCAGACCGCCCCAGGGACCGCGAGCACGGGCGGTTGCTAGGCCAAACAAAACCCCAGCTTAGCTAATGGCTAATTGGGCCCCACACCAGGGCTCAGGGCTGTGGCCACAATAGAAACTCAGGCTCCCTCCTTGATTCATGCCTTAAAGCCACAGTCTCCAATTTCTCCAAGGTCCTTAAGAGTTTTCACCGGATTCGGGAGAGCTAGAAAAGTGGAGCAGAGCCCTGGGAAGCAAAATCCTGGTGCCAAAAGATTCTGAATTCATCTCTTTCTGACCAGAAAAAAACGTGGTTTGTTCAGGGTTAGTTTTATAATGTGAGGAAAGGTGGATAAAAAGTTATACTCGAAGGAATATGTTCCGTACCCCAAGGTCACCTTCAAAGTGTGTCACTAAAGGTGATCATTGCCAGCACCGGTGGCTCACGCCTGTAATCCTAGCTACTCAGGAGGCTGAGATCTGAGGATCATGGTTCAAAGCCAGCCAGGGCAGCAAAGTCCATGAGACTCAACTCCAATAAACCACCAGAAAACTGGAAGTGGTGCTGTGGCTCAAGTGGTAGAGCTCTTGCCTTGAGCTGAAGAGCACAGGAACAGCGCCCCAGCCCAGAGTTTAAGCCCCAAGACCTACAACAAAAGAAAAAGAAAGAAAGAAAGAAATCACTAAGGTGACAGTTGGAAACAGCTTGGAACTGCCTCCCCTATCAAAAAAAAATTTTTTTTGGAAATCAGTTTTGTTTTGCTTTGTTTTGTTTTTTGGAAATCGGGCTCTGAATGCTGAGCTAGTGAGTATGCATGCTTCCCCATGTCCAAAGGACTATGAGAGTGAAAAACATCCTGTGTAAATCAAAGTATTGTGAACTCCAGTGAATGAGAATGACTAGATACCATCTACAGACTCAAAGATACATGGAGGAGGCTCTTCAGTGGAATGGGTTACATTTTGCTTCATTTGAAGAAATGTGTATGAAAAGTGAATCCTGAGCATGACACATATTGTAGCAGGAGGGGATCAGGTTTGAGCAAATGTTTCTGTTGTTGCTTTGTTTTAAAGCTGTGGGTGGTGCTTACCACTGATATTGGGAGGAGTTTTGTTTTTGTATCAGGATATGTTTTCTGATTTAGTTCAAAGTTCAAGGAACGAAGAAGAATAAGTATGATAATGAATAAGTAAACTTACATTCCCTACTGCATGCTTTTTTGTTGTCGGTCAGGAGGCCTGAACTCTGGGCCTGGGCACTGTCCCTCAGCTCTTCAGGTCAAGGCTAGTGTTCTACCACTTGAGCCACAGCGCCACTTCCAGCTTTTTCTGCTTATATGGTGCTGAGGAATCGAACTCAGGTCCTTATGCATGCAAGGCAAGCGCTCTACCACTGAGCCACCTTCCCAGCCCCATGCTTTCTCTTAAAAAATAAATTTAACTTATTTTTAAACAGGTGTACAAAGGAACTTCAGTTCAGCACATTGATGGATATGTACAATACATCTGGATCAGTGACAGCCCTAACCTCATTCTTCCTCCCTGCCTCCCATCCATCCCGTCAAGTTTCCTAGGTTCATTTTCAGTTCTATATGTTGAATATTAAGACTGTCTTTACCCACCCTTTCTTTTTTCACCCCCCCCCCCCACCACTTGTGACAGTCATCATGGTCAACACTAGCTGGAAGGAAGCAGAACTCCAGGTATGTAAGAGAATTAAGAGATGGAGTAATAAAGGCAGGTCTTAATTGATACCAGAAGAGGCAATGGCATGCAATTGGCCACAGGGAAGAATTAAAATAAAGGGAAAAGAAAATAAGCAGCAGGCACATACAGGAGCAGCAATGGACAGAAAAGTCAGAGTCAGCCCAGGAAAGCTATGTCAGCTCTAGTAGAGCTCAAGGCCGGCAGAGGGGGGCTGGGGTGGACTCACCCATATTTCTCCTGTTCCCACCTTTGCCCTGATGCGCCAGTTCACCAGGAAGCCTCTAGAATATGCAAGGTCCATCAGAGACCATGCCATTTCCATATAGCATTTCAAGATTGCAAAGTAGCTTGTAGAATTTTTTTTCTTTTGATTACTTCATAAGCATCTTGATTCTAGAAGAACAATTGAGTTCTATACCAGGCTATTCTCATTACAAGAAGAGATAATTTCTGGAGGATGGATTTTTTTTTTAGTGTCCAAGCTGCTAATCATTGGATTCTTTTTAAAATGTTTTTATTTTCTTGTAAAGATGCTGTACAGAGAGGTTACAGTTGCATCAGTAAGGTAATGAGTACATTTCTTGTTGGGCATTGTCAGCCCTTCCTTTGTTTTTCTCTCACTGTCCCTTCCCTCCCCCCTCCCTGCCCCCCAAAGTTATAAAGTTCATTTCCCACATAGTGTCTTGTGAGTGTCATTGTTGCAATGGGTCATCCCGTGTCCTTGTTTTAGCATTTTGTTATTCCCCTTCCATTCCCCAAATTAGATAAATGTATGTACATGTTTATGGGTTGAATTGCATCCTCCCAAAATATATGGTGAAATCCTGAAGACCTGTAGTCATAGCACTCAGGACGCTGAGGCTGAAAGATCCTGAATTCAAGTTCAAGGCTACATAGCAGACCCTGTCTCAAAAAAGGTCAAATTGTAACTACCAGTTCATGTAACAAATGCTATGTAATAACTTATCTATTGTACTGTTTTCATCTCTCTCAATCTCTAATAATCCCTTATTGTGCTATGGTAATGTTTTGAAACCCTGAAAAACAAATGTATGGGTTTGGGAGTGGGAGATTAGTGATGAGCCCTAATCTAAGGGGTGAGGTACTCTTAAGAAGAGGAATCATTGAGCACAGACCCAAAGAGGCAATACCATATGACAAGAGAGACAGTGCGACAACTGCTGGAAAGAAGAAGAAAAAAGACCAAGAGAGGAATCCAACTTCACTGGTTTCAGAGGGCATTGTTCTGAAGGACCTGATTTAAGTCTTACAATTTCCAATCTCTATCTGTCTAAGTTACCCGGTTGTGGCAATTCATTAAGACAGCCCTTAATGCTCTATTGGGATAGTAAAAAATTGGGAAGTACTTTCCCCAATATGGTATCTTGTTCTTCTTTAAAAGTATATTTACTCTAAAAAAGATGCAGAAGAAATGAATCCATAGGGAGTGTGTCAGAACTCATATAAGTGAGGTAGCATGGGAGATAGTGACATTGTGAGTAGCTTTTTAGAACAGCCAGTCTCTAGGAAAGGACAGTGAATGAACAATTGATCCTTTTGTTGGAGGTACTTCCTTTCAAAATGACCCATAATTGCAAACATGATGAGCCATTCTTAGTAAGAGGCTAGGTCTATTGCACCCATTGTTCATCCATCAACAGTCTTTTAAGACAGATGTTAGATGCTCCAAGCTTCTCAGTTAATTACCAGCCCCAGGGTATTCTCTTCGTGGACTGGATGAAGTCATTCATTCAAGAAGAATGGAATGAAAGTAAATACAGTAAATCGTAGTGTCTATGTGTGGCAATGTTTGTTTTAAAGGGACTATTAGAAGTGTCAAAGTGGCATTTTATTTGATAGAATTCTTCTGTTCACATTTTTAAATTAAGAATTTGATGGACTTTTTTTCCTGATGTGTAAGATAATGCTTGGCTATATCATGGAGAAAGCATTAGGAAGTTAAGAACAAGTTATTACAAAGACATGTTATGTTTTGAAAACCTGAAAGTTAAAGCAAACAATGAGTTTTTTGTGAAGTTAAATTACCTTGCTAAGCATGACAGGAAGGTTAAGGGCTATAAGGAAAAAACTGGACATTTTTACCATGAGAAATTTGAAACTTGTTTTTAAAAAGTATTTTTATTATCTTTAAGTAGTTGTGCGAAGCAGTTTATGAATACAGCGCATCTTGATCAGTGTCACCTCTTTTAGTATTCTGAATAATGAAAGACATTGTTTGATTTAACAACTCAGTACTGGGCACCCAGGGAAGCTATTTAGGATGAGAAGAGTATAGCTAGACTGTCTCAGCCACTCACCAACATAAAGCTTCTCCTTGTTCCTTAGTTTCCTCAACGGTAGCTCAAGGATAATAACAATAGCTATTCAAATAATGATGCCTTGTGAAAGTTACACTATTCTTACCCAGAAGGGCAGTGGACAGAGCTGGCATGTGGTACACTGTCAGTATGAGGTACATGGGTATTGGGTGTTGATTGCTGTTGTTTGTGTGTGTTTCTCTGTGTGTGTGCACGTGCTGGTACTAGGGCTTGAACTTGGGACCTTGCATTATTGCTCACCTTTTTTACGCATAGCTGAAGTCACACCTGCAGTTCAAATTCTTTTTTTGCATAAATAGAGATAGAATTACACTGACTTCTTCCCAGCTAGTTTCAAACTATGACCTCTTGAGTAGCTAGAATTATAGTCATGAGCCACTCGTACCTGGTGCAGTATGTTATTTTTTATTTTTTTGTATGTTTTTCATTGTAAAAGTGCTACAGAGGGGTTACAGTTATATGAGCAAGGTAATGAGTACATTTCCTGTTGAGCACTGTTACCTCTTCCTTTGTTTTCCCCCTATCATCCCTTTCTCCCATATCCACAGCTATACCCCGCCCCCCCCCCCAAGTCTA